TGACCATTCAAGAGCAGGATGACAGTGATGCTTTCCGCAGAGACTATACCAGCAAAGGAACCTCCTATAAATACACTCGGGAGAAGGGAAAATGGTCTCTGAAGGAGGGTTTCGGTTGGAAGAAGGAGTGCTAGAAAAGAAATCGGGTAGATACAGATAAGCTTTGGCTCTGAAAACACATAAAGTGGTAAAATCTGATTTTTTATATGAAAAAAGTAAAACCCAGATAGTCGAACCCATATGTCAGAAGAAAGGTGATCAGAATTAAGGCTCTGTCAGCCGGGTTTTAAAATTATATATAAAAATGTTAAAAATAAAATTGTATATTAGGGCAACCATAAAACATTAGAAGTAGATCGTATAACGTAGCAGGTAGGTGGGTGAGTAGGTATTGAGAAACTCCATAATCGAAAGGAGGCAAGAAAAGGTGGAGGAAGAAAGACAGGAAAGTAGGGTGAAGGGAAATCACAGACTAGACTTCAGAAGGTCAAGTAGACTAGGAGTGAGTGGTCGGAACCTGTTAGGGTGTGATTACAAATACAGTCCAGCTCTCTGCTCTTTATGACACACCTAACACAGTGATATTCAAGACATTTTCATGTGACTCACGGAAAGAAACATTTTACCTTAAGATGCAGCACAAACACGTGTGTGTGTCTCAGAACCACGTACACGTAGGTCTCCGTATGTGCTTCACAAAATCGTACCCAACCTCACTAGTACGCCGAGGTCTCAGATTTTCATCCAGTGCCATTCTGTTCTCTTCCACCTCATTTAGATGGGTGGGTGGGTGGGTGGGTAGAAAAGAAAGAATTTCCCTTCCTGCTAACTAGGTGGGAGAAGGGGGGCAGGGGGATTGGTATTGTTTTATTCATATCCTATGAACAAAGTTTGAAGACAGAAAAGCATTAATAGGGATGTGGAGGGCAACTACATAATAATAAAAGGCTTGTTCTACAAGAATCACTACAGAAACAGATGGGCCCCTGAAGACACTTCTCAGAATGTATAAAGCAAAAACATTCTGTCCTCTGGCCAGCATTTAAATTTTGGACTGCTCCAGTGACCTCTTTTCCTCTTCCTTCTCTCTGTAGACCTGCCTTTGGCGTCAAATTCACACGTTAATAGGAGAGACACAGGGAACCCATAAACCAGTTATTGCCGTAGCCCAGGCAAAAATCCTAAAAGCAGGTGGCCTGGGGGAGTAGTGATGGAGTGAGAAGCGGTTGTAGGGCGATTTTTTTTTAAGGTAGAGCTTACGGGGTTTGCTCAAGAGTCTTTAAAAACACAAGCATCCAGTGGAGTGTGAAACTCACTCCTGCAGAAGCTTCCAGTAGCACCTCGTCACACCTGGAGCCAACTCCAGAGTTCCCGATCATCTCTCAGCCCCATCTCCTCTCGCTCTCGTTCCCTTCGTCCACTCAAGCGGCCACACGTTTCAGTGTCGTCTCTTCCTCGCTGCCTGGTCGGGGTCTCATTGGATCCTCTCTGCCGCCAGCTTCCTGGCCTGCTGAATAGCACCGGCCTCGGCCCACCTTTCCTTTGTCTTGGAGAACTTTCCACTCGCTCTGCCCCAGCCCCACGGCTCCTTCTGGTTCTCGAATGAGACTTTGTGCTTCGTGTGACTCTGCTGAACGTGCTCCCCTGTCGTTTCCGTCACCGCGTGGGCCTCCCATCGTTCAGACCAGTGTCCGCTGTCCGCTCTCGGCCTGTGGTCTTCCCCAACCGTTCTGTCTTTAGGGCCTGCCCACCTGATGACCTTTCTCTCCCTCAGGGACTTTGTCTCACCCGCTGCTCTATTCCTAGTTTCTAGTTGGTCGTGCCTGGTATATAGGAGGCACGTCATAAACATTTTAAGTGAGAACGGAATTAGTGGTAGTGGAAATGTAAAATAAACCTAGAGGCAGAGCACTTTGATGGGACAGTAAGTTGTCTTCATCTAGGGATGAACAGTTGTAGATTGTGTGAATAACTGTGTTTTCACAGTAACACACATTGCTTACAATGTGGTGGACATTGTGCTAAGCACCTGGCTTACTTTACCCAAGTTCGTTCTTCCTATGATAGCCTTTTCAGGTGGGTACTCACCTTTTGCCACGTTACTGGTGAGATGGCTGTGGTTCAGAGAGGCTGAAAAAACTTCCTTGACATCATACGGCAGAGCAGGCAATTGAGTCCGTGTGCTCAGCTCTTTCTTCTCTGCTCCTGTTAAGGTATGTAAGCACCAGAGACAGAACATTTTCGATCACATTTCCCGCTTGCTAGCAGGGACCTTCTCTCAGTTCGTAGGTGGCTTTGTGAGGACAGCTGCACTCCTGGCTTCAGTTCTGAAAAGTAAGATGTTCTTCGAATGAAAGTGCCAGGGCTCCCCGGAATAACCGGGCGTCCGTTTCCGTTCTCGGGAAGTTCTTGAACATCAATTTGTTTTCGTGCTATCTGCCATAGGATCTGTTCCTCCTGTTCAATAACCGTGAGACACAAGCTTGTTCACCCGGGTCCTGAGGTCTTTCGACACAAGCCAGCTTGTGGCACACTGTGTGGGTGCAGCTGTGTCAGGCAGGGGGACCTTCCAGTGGTGCCGTGGCTGGCCGCTGGGGACAGGAAGGGCTGGTTGGATAAGTGGCTGTCCTGGTGGGAAGAATAACCACAAAATAGATCCTGCCTCAAGCAATACACAGGGACCCACTGAAAATGGACCAGGTGAGAAAAAAGCTTAATGAAAAGTATGAAGGTACTGCTGGTCCTGGAGCAGGAAGATTTAATAACCCCAAAGACGTTCTCTGGAAAAGGAAAGGATAGCAAATTTAACTTCATTGAGATGAAGAGCCACTGTGTATTAAAAAGTGTATTTGTAAAAGTGCAGAAGCAAGTTGCAGCTGAGAGGAGATATTTGTCACGTTTGTAATTTACAAAGGATGATGCTCTTCTGATTAGTATGAGAGTTGCAGGCAACTCAGTCCACGGACAAGGGACATGAAGGCGTTGTCATAAAGGGGAAAACAAGTTTGGCCAGTAATCGGGGGGGATGGCGATCAGGGGGGTGGGGACCTAGCCCACAAGATCCACACTGGTTGGCAGAAAGTGAGTTGTGGGCAGCGTCAGTAGCGGGAGAGGTGGTGGCTCCAACAGGGTGTTTGCCTGCGCTGCTGGTGAGAGAAGGTAAACGGGTAAATCCGTTTGGGCCGCTGCTGGAAGACGGGCAGCACACACTCTACAGGGCTGCAGTTCCCCTGCAGATTTTGTCCCTGAGAGACTCCAGGTTTCCGTGCTGGGCCGCAGACATAGGATGTCACGCAGGTCAAAATGAATGAACTGTAGGGACGTGTAGCTGTGTGGGTGAATCTTAGCCACGTAGCCTCGTGTGGCAGAGTCGAGTCTCCCATGACACTGTTGTGAGTGCACTAAGTGCCACTGAACTATACGCGTTAAAAAGGTTAATTTTTTTGTAATGTGAATTTTACCTCAATTAAAAAAAAAGTAAGTCCCAGAAAATGACATAACAGCCTGATAAGCTTTTGTAATGTGAAAAGAAAAGAAAACCCTAAAGGAATATCGTCAGGGATCTCATCGGTTGGGTAAGATAAAGGACCAGAGGGCAATAGTGCAGAGCCTCCCCGAGGGGAGTGTCCTGCGGGGGGGGGGGCGCGGCCCGCCGCCGCGCGGCGGCGCCGCCGGGGGGGGGCCCGGCGCGGGG